ATCTTCTTTAATTATAGTTAATTTAAATTTTTATATTTCCCTTTTAAAGTAAAGACTATTAGTTACGTAACTTTAGTAGAGATAAAGAGGTATAAAGTAAAGAAATCTCTAAGACTTATATTTATAACCTAAGGCCCTTAAAGCTATTTATAAGACCGATAATTAAATAATTATATAGTTAATTACTTTACTAATCCTTAGCTATATACTACGCGTACTTTAGGTATATACCCTTATCCCTATTAAACTACTTACTTAAATAAAACCCTTATCTAAGAGGTCCCTTAGCGTCTTCTTTAATACTAGTAGCTCTATATATAATATACTATATAGCGGTCTAAATAGTATAGGTAGTTCCTACCCCTTCTTATTAATATAAAGTATAATCCTATAGTTTACCTTTAGCTTATATAGGTTAAGCTTATTTACTTCCTAGGACTTAAATAGCGGTAAGAGGTTATAAAAGCGCTCCGGTATCTACTACTATAGCTTAGAAGGCGACTTTAGCTTCTTTATCTAAAGGGCCTTATCGATATCCGCTAAGCTAACTATATAGACTATAGCGTTAGCCGCTACTTAGCCTTACCCTTACTCTACCTATTATATAGTTCTTATAAAGATAAAGGTAAGGACTTCTTATACTAAGTATAAAGCTTATATACTTAATCCTATGCCTATAAAACTATTATTATAGCGGACCTACTATTATATAGGCCTAAACTATAGCTTCTTTTAATATAGAACTAAGTATAACTCTATATATAATAATTAGGGTTTCCTAAGGATTAAGGGAAACTCTAGTTAAGGGATTATATAGGCTACGATAAGCTTATAATAACTATCGACCTTTATAGCTAGCTATATAATACCCTTAATTACTATACCCTCTATCGCGCTTAAGGCGCCCTTTACTCGCCTTAGGGCGATCTTTTCTACCGGTACTTATATCTCTTATATAAGCGCCTCGTTAACTATAGTATAGTACTAATAGCCCTTATCTATAAAGGTAGTAATAGGTAAGGAGTTATTAATTATAACTTATATTAAAGTAGGCTCCTCTTTTATATAGGCGGATAATTCCTCCTTCTCCTTTACTAGTACTAGTAATTAAGGCTTTAGAGCCTATCTTTACTCTAGAGCTACTCTTTTTCCTCTAAGCCTAAGGGGGCGGAGTCCTTCTTATCGTTTAAGGTAAGGAGCGGTTCTATCTTTACTACTTAAACCGCTATAGGCCGCTTACTTAAAAGGAAAGGGCATTTTAATATAAAGTATATAAACGCGCTATAATATAAGTAGCAGCCGTTAGCCTTTCTCTTTTTAATTTCCTCGCTTATTACTTACTTCGCTTACTACTTAAAGTATAGGGCGGTATAGGGGGTAGTTAATAGCGTTTTTTTACTACGTTTAGCCCGGTCTATATAGGTAGCTAATATTAAGGTGTCCCTATCTATATTAATAGCTAGTTATTTATCTTATAGAGGGGCGGTAATCTTATTATTACTATATAGCGTACGCTTATAGAGCTTTTAAAAACGCGGCGTCTACTTATAGCCCTATACTACCTTTATTAACCGGCTTATATACTTACTATAGTTAATAGGTATAATTATAAGGATAAGTAGCTCTTATAAGGCTAGCGTAATCGAATTCTATAGCTATATAAGCTTCGCGCTATCTTCTTATATTATAGTCCCTGCTACCTATAAGAGCGTTTCTTTAAAATTAAAAAGGAATTTACTAAAGGTTTATCTATCTCTTTACTTAAGGGTCTATAGCCTATCTTACGCCTTCTCCCGCTCTTATACGTTGCCGAACGTATATATAAGGTATTAAAAGAAGTCTTATAGGTCGCGTTTACCCTTAGGGCCGCTATTATCCTAGAATCTAAAGATCCGCCGTATCTAAGGCTCCGGTAGTATATAAAGGAGCGTATACTACGCTATATTTTAATAGCTATTTAGGCCCTATTTCTCGTTAGTTATAAACTTTATCTATAGCTAGCTAAGGAAGAAGTAAAAGGACTCTAGCTTACTATCCTAAGTCGGCTAAGGGAGCGGCTTCCGCGTTAGTAGTATCGCCGCCATAACTAGCGTTATAGAGGTCGTAGGGGTTAAAGCTAGTCTTATAAACGGCTCCCTTAATATAGCGAGAACCTTATCCTTTTCGCTAGCTATCGTGCTTTTAATCGCTTCTAGGATAGCTATAATACTTCCTATCTATTTAAGGAGGGGTAGAGTACTTCCTTAAAGAGGAGGCACCCTCTTTAAAGAGATATCTATTAGATCTATTAGTTAATAGCTTATACTATTATAGAGTAAGTAGAGGTATACGTATAAGTACTATTTATAAGATAATATTAATAAGCTATATAAAGCTCTTTTATACGCGGCTAGCCTATATATATATATATAGGATCTAGCCCTCTATATATAATTATATAGCTTAGGCTATAGCTTAAGCCTATAACCTATAATAGTTAAAGACTCTTATACTAAGGGGTACTAGCTATCTTATATAGATAACTTTAGTATCTCTATAACGTTAACCTTAGCTAAGAAGAACGTTTAGTAGCTAAAAGTAATAGCTACTAACTTATTTAAATAAGCTAAAGACTAAGGGGTTTACTTTAACCCCTTAAAGATAGAACTTATTTACTTTAGTAAGTAATAGTAGCTTATTTTAAAGGGTATAATAGTAGGAGGCTTATTTTTTAAGGTAAAGCCCTTAGTATAGTAGCTAAGGGCCTTCTTTAATTCTAGGCTCCGATTTAAATAATATATTAAGAAGAAGGTAGCCTCTATATAAGCTGCCTTCGAAGGACTATCCCGCTTAACCTTTATATAAAAAGGCTTATTATTTAAAGCCTTTAAATAGCTCTACTAAGCTTATATAACCTCTATAGTAGATTATAGGGCCTAGCTTTAGTATAAGGGGCCTAAGACCCTTAAGAGCTTAATAAAGCCTTTTTAAAAGATTTAAAACTAGGCTCTTTTAAAGGTCTTAATAGCCTTTAAAGGATACCTTATTAGGGCCTTAAAAGCTAAAGTAGCCCTACTACTACTAAAGGTATAATTTAAAAGGGTATGCCTCTCCTACGCCCTTTAGACCCTATACTTCTTACCTAGTTACCTTATAAGGTAAGCTTACGACCTAGCTATATAGGACGACCTCGCTAACTTAGGCTCTAACCTAAGGGCCTTAAGCTATATTAGGCTATATATATAGCTCTTTTACTTTCTTAAAGGCCTAGTAGCTCTTATAAGACCTAATTATAACCTAGAAAAAGGAAAAGCTAGCTAAGAGCCCTTATAGGCCTTAGGCTCTAAGGCCTTTATTATAATAATAAAGGCCCCTAAGCCCTTAGCTAAGAAGTAGTATTAACGCCTCTTAGCTAGCTTAGCTAGCCTAAAAGACTTTAGGTTATAGCCCTTAGCCTTTTATATTAATAGCTTTAAGGGGTGCCTTAAGGGATCCCTTATAAAGACTAACGCTTACTCCTTCTATAAAATAAGCTTAGAAAATAAGCCTATTAAAGCGTACTATAAGAACCTAGGGCCCTCGATTAAAGTAGCTAACGTAGAGCTATTCGCGATACTAAGGGTCTTAGAGGACCTAACTAAGAGGCCTTAGCCCTTAAGGCTTAGCCCCCTTAACCCCCTTATAGATACCTATATTTTTATAGATAGCTAAGCTACTATAAGGAAAGCTATAGGTTTCTCGGACCTAGCTATATATATTAAAAGGCTCCTATTTAGCTTAGAAGCCTTTTATAATATATAGCTATACTAGTACCTTAGCTACCTAGGGATCTTTTAATAATAAGCTTACTAACTAGCTAGCTAAAGGAGGCTTAAGGGCCCCTACTTAAGGGACCCCCTTAGTCTTTATTAGCTACTTATAAAGAAAGGTCTAGTAAGCTACTAAGGACTATTAAAAGGGACTCTAAGCTACTAAGGCGGCTAAAGGCCTTAGGGCTAAGGGCCTAGGCAAGCACTATATATTTATTCGAAAGACCCCTTACCTAGCCCTTAGCTTAGAAAAGGACCTTATAGGGAGGCCTAGGCCGACCCTCTCGGCCTTCTACTAGCTCCTTTTTAGGGCTAGCTTTTTATTTTCCTTTTTAAAAAGGACTAATAAGGTAGACCGAGACGACTAACGCTTCGGCTAAGGAAGGTATACGGCTAGGCACCTTATTCTAAGGTGCCCGAACTATAGGAGGGAAAGAGAGGTCCTTTACCGGACCTCTAATAGATAAGAGGGGGCTATTAGCCTACCTATTCACTATAGCTCTAAGGAAGGAAGGGAAGCCCTTTTAACCTTCTTAGCTAAAATAGAGATAGGGATAGCTAAGTAGCTCGAAAAGGAGTAACCTAGGGGCCCTAGGGCCCTTAGGGGGGAAAATCACCGCGCGGGAGGAACCAGACTAACCTTTCCTTTATCTTTGCCTTTATAGCTACCCTTTCCCTAATTAGTTATAAGCCCCCGGGCTCTATAGCTAGCTAGGACTGCTAATAAGGGCCTAGGCCCCTATTAGCCTCGCCATGGCCCTAGAGGCTGTATGCGAGTAATGATATAAAAAAAAGATCCCTACTTCGGTTTCAGATAACGCAACCCAGGTCTCTAAGCGCGTGACACATGCATGGCATCTTTCCAGTTACATGTGACAGGTTATGAGCCCGGGCTGGCTCTTAAACGTTAAGTGTTGCCATTCTGAGCCAATTTCCCACTAACTCTGCCTCACGCACAGCCTAGCGGTCTGCCATAGGTATATCCCAGCGTAGAAGCAGACAATAAGTCAGTCTTCAGACAGGAAGGAACACAACTCCCTAATAAGGAGAAGAGAGCTCTCCACTGCCATAAGATGTCATATTATTAGAGAAACGAGGATATTCGAACAGCTACCAACTCACTAACATTCGGAATCGAGTCTCCCACGATTACAACGCAGATTCATCCTTCTACAGTTCTACCAATTACCCTGCCTCTTTACGATCTTCAGGATGGACAACATCGTATCTGGACTGCAGAAGATCACCAAGCTTGAATCCCCTGATCAATATGTCGAATGGCATAGACAGATCACAGACATCTTGAGCACTCACAACTATGGCCGACTCTTCAATGCTCTCAAGGAGCCACCCCTCAGGTTGCAATCTGACACTAAACGCGAGTACGCCAATGTCCTTGAGAAGTGGGAAGAGAAGCAGGACAACGCATGTAATTGCGTACGCGCCACCATTAGCTTCAATGCTCGGGAAGCCGTCAAAGCGATAGACGGGAAACCATTCAACCGACTACATATCGTCCTAGAAACCATTGAGGAACACTGCAAGCCCACCAGGAGTGCCAATTACCAGGAACTAGATCGGAACTACTATAAGTTATCCCTTGAAAACTGCAAAGGTGTCATGAACTTTGCCTCAAGGCTCCAGGAAGCCAACAATCGACTACTGGGGATTAATTCAACTCTTGGTTACAACACTCCACAAAGTGTCAACAAATTCTTAATCGGACTAGGAAATGACTTCTCAGCGTTCAGAACCGCATTCTATCAGACTCACCAACTGATTCCAGAAATGGATAAGGAGGGGAAGACCAAGACCCCTGGGGTCTCCTAGGATAAAGCAATTCAAGAGGCCCAACATTTCGAGAAGAATCAGAAGGCAGAGGAACAAGCTAAAGTTTCTCTCTTAGCAACTAAGAGACGACGAGACGATAGAGAAAAGTGTGTTTACTGCAAGAGACCAGGCCACAGTGAGGACAGGTGCTGGAACCTACACCCACTCGCCATTAGGTGATTGGATGTGCCGCTGGGCGACGCACGCGCTACTGGACCGCTGGACGTATAACGGCTGAAGAAAGTATCATCGTGGTCCAGAGGCCTGAATTACGCGACGCCAAAACTCTCCCATCTGAATGATCATCTTATTATACACTCGTTCCGCCCCAGCTCAAGAGCCGTCCCCGACGTGTCCTTGATCGCCTCTTTTTCGCGCGTAATGTCATCGGCATTTTTTGGACCGTTCGTGACCGGGACGGCCATTGGCCACGTCTTCTGATCTCCGCAAGTGTCATGGCGCTCTGGGTTCGTGCCGTGATGGCAACTCTGGTCGCCAGCATCGGCGCCAGTAGCATGGCTCTGCCCACCTCATCGCACAAGCCCATCCCGTTCCGTATTGACCTAAGGGTGCGCACAAAGTCGTCTACTACTGGAACTGCGCTCTTCAGATATGCAGCAAATGCATAAGGTGAACTTGTGGGGGCAGGTGGATGTGCGCGCCGCAGCAGTGGCACGAAGAACAACTCAACGCGTCGCTTATTCCCGTGCATGGGCTGAACTCTTAGGTGCGCATGCTTGTACTGTATGTTGTTGCAGCTACAGTCCGTGTAGCGTACGATCCATATTTTGACACAGCGCGCAGTCGCCTGCAGCCGACCTATTGGTGTTCTCATCAAGTGCATGCACTTGGCCGTCAGATACCTTGGCATGAAATGGCCGTTGCCCGGCGTTCAGTTCTGGAACGATACTGTAGTGGGTAGATGGCCTAGGCGTAGGGTCTGCTCTAAGGGATTTTCCGGTGATCTGCCGGATCTGGCGATTTGCCGGATTGCGGCGACTTCGCACGCTCAACATCAATCGACGATAGCTCAACATCCACGGTGCCAATTGACGTATCCTTTGAGTGCCTGAATTGTCAGAAGCAGTGAAAGTCTAGGATATATTTAGAAGTTTTATCTAGGGGGCAATGCGCTGCGGTGCTGACATCAAACGAAGCAACGGCCAAAATAGGATTCCGACAGATTGTGTAAGTCATTTCGGCCAACACAGCAAAAACAGAACATTATTGACTTTCATCGTGGGCTTTAATCATGTGGGATTCTCCTATTATATCCATAGCGCAGAAATTGGCTCAGGATACTGCCAAAAATGGGGTTGGAAGGGCGACCTAGATAACCTCATTCTACGCACCCGTAATGAGCCAGATTGAACGTGATTCGACGCTACGAGCATCTTCTGAAAAGAACCTACATATGCATCTGAATGTAAGGTTTATTTTTAGCTTGAACTTCAGTGCGCGAGGCTCCTCTTTCACACCTGACAAGGAAAGATGCGCACGAAAATTGAGAAACTCGACACCCTGCCCTAAAACACGTATAACATGGATGAAAAGGATTTCTATTCCTTACGAGCATTTGAACGAACATTTTATTCCTCTTATTAGAAGAAAACAAGGCAAAATTGCTCGGCGTATTAATAAATGGCAACCCATCCTCCATTACGTTCAAGATGTGCGTCAGTCAAGAGATGGCATCGCTGCCCCCATTTCTCATCCACCAAGACAAGCCAGCACAAACCCTGGACTTTTGGTTGGTGAAACGTGAATCAAGTCGTCAATAAATATTTTTTAACACGTCAAAAACGAGGTGGATGAATCACAATATTGGAAAAGAGCAGCTCGTCAGTACGTTGGACCGGTTTACTAAGGCGAAGCTCGAAACGGTCGTGCTTTTCGCCTTTGGTTACCGATGGCCACTTAAACATTTTAGTATGGATTTTATGGAGTGGTGTGACGGGCACCAGATGATCGTTGTGGTGTTTCCTCCTCATTCCACTCATCGGCTGCAACCCTTGATGTATCGTTATTCAGCCTCTCTCAGCAGCGTATATGTATAATCTTCTTCATTGTACAGACAAATAAAAAAGGTTAATTAAATCGTTGAAAATGAAGCTCTAGACTGTGTTTTGGAAGGCATTTCAGGAAGTAGTCGAGAAGACCTCTGTTGATGCTGGCCGCAACAGCCGAAGGCTGAGTAGCACCCTCGAAAGCCCTCAATGTGCGTTTTAAGTGATTTATATGAGAGCTTAAGTTAGAAGAGAACAGGTAGTCACAAGCACCAGCGCAGGCAGGGCGGTAAGGCTCCAAAAGATGATCTCTTCTGCTGTACAGATTGGAATGCAGACGAGGTGTTTAGCTCTGCAAAAGTGGCTCAAACTCGCTAAAGAAATACAGCAAGGACCCCAACAAAAGAAGAGGCTCTGAAGAAGGAGACCTGAAAGTTTCAGCAACAGAAGAAGGCGGCGGAGCAAAAGCTTTCGCTCTACAGAAGAGGAAGCAATGAGAGGCGGAAATTGGGAGAAAACGACGGATGACGGAGGCCGTGAAGCAAAATATGGAGATAAATTGGCACTATTAACAAGAGCTGAAGATTTTGACTATGGAAAAGCCCCAGAAAATGCAGAATGAGCGACGGGTGGCCCCTGAGGGTCGCGTGAGGAGTCAGGATGCTCACGCCGCAGAAATTGTCACTCTTCCGTTCACACCAGAGCGGACCATAGCATTGCAGGTACCAAACCCACTATATAATAACGCAAACAACAAGGCAATGATAACCTCAACCCACATATCCTGTCCTCAAAGGCCCTCTTTAGCTGTTGATAGTGATCGGGAGGTAGTGGGTGCATTTCGGGGACTTGCGCGATCGGAGAGTAACAGAAGACGACCTCGATGACTGGATGACTTCAAAAAATATTGAGTGAAATCTTTGAGCATTATTAATTTCTCTTATGAGATTTTAGAATAATTCAAATAGTATTCGTGGAGTTATTCTCAGTTCTTTACTGGAATGCAAGGGAGAAAAAAACCGGCGAATCACCCGATCCGGCAGATCATCGGAAAATCCCTTAATAGTGAACCAGTGGCCTCGGGTTGCTGCACGAAGCAACATTCAGCGCTCCGGCCAGATGTCAACCTACGATCCATGGGCAGGAACCGGCTACTTGCTTTCGTTCTCCAGAATATGGGCGTGCTCAAGTCCTACGCAGCGCCCAACCAGACTTCCGTATATCTCGTGAGCGTGCCGCATCGTAATGCCCGTGAAGCAATTGTAATGTACATAGCGGCAAGATGGTGTGTATCGCTGAGACACCTGGCAGCCTCATGGATGGCGATGACGACGAAATGGGCAACCAAAGTTGTAGGAGCACTGTCCCATTATACAGCACCATTTATAAGGCCCGAGACTAATTGCCAACGTCGAAGGCCCCGATGATGGGTTCGAAAAAGACATGCTTGCATTTTTCAACTACGTTCTGCGCGACGAACCGCTCGAGGTGGCGCAAGTAAAGCAAGCGAAGCGAGAACTGGAGCCAATAAAGGCAGCACTAAAGGAAAGGACAGAGCAGAATAGCAACCGTCGAGGGGTCAGGAGTCGCCGGGTCACGTTCAAGTTGCTAGCGCCTCCGGCAAAGCCATGTCGTCAAAGAGTGTGAACTATGTCCTCGATGAAGGAAATATGCATCAGAAATAGTGTCTATAGTGACTATATTCACACACAAGGTGGCTGCGACCTTGGTACAGCGTCGTACCAGGCAGCGATGTTTCATTGCAGATGGTGCCCGCATTCCCTGGACAGCGAGTCTCGTGCAGCCATCTTGGCAAATGAAAACGCTGCGAGAGCAGTCACCAACTGCATGTAGTGCTTGAACAGGGCTCAAAGTCTCTCATGACCTCCAACATTCGCCCTTCCACTTTCTCTTGCCTGCATGCACCTCGGGGATTTGAAAAGGTACTAGCAGTAGTATTTATCAATGGCTCTTCTGCTGCTTTGAAGCATCTATTAAAGGCATCAAAGGTGGCGCAAAAAGAAGTCCGAACATCGACTCTACCCTGTCTGGCCATCTATTGCCTCATTCCTTCAATATACACACTGCTCGCCATGGCCTACGACACAGTCAAGGGCCCCCGCGTCCTGGTCAGAAAGGCGGCGTCTGACCAGATGACCAACTTTGACGCCCTGCAGCAGGCCAAGGATTGGGAGAGTGCCGCTAGTCTTTAGGACCGGCGCCATTTATTCGCGAGCAGACTTGTATGCACTGAGCTCAGACGACAACTGCCCGTTCTCGGAAACCAGGACGGGGCAGACACCAAGGTACAGCATCCATCCATCCAACGGCTCATCTATGGTCCGGGGGCCGTCGTTACAGCGGGCAAGTCGGAGCCTGAGCTCGTCTAGATGTTCGAACCCGATAGCCTGGGCCAAGTCTGGGCTGCCCTGGCCCCGTTTCTGCGTCCGGACTAGGCGGTGGTTATAACAGGCAAGACGTACAACGAATGCTAAGGCCCTCTTGCGACGACTGGGCGGGGCCATATTGCTAAGGGGGTAGCAAAAGTTAGAAGATGCGATGGCGCAAGGAACCATATGGCCGAATAGGAATAATGGCGACGCGGACCAACATGGTGGTCAGCGTTAGTGGCGCGAGGGCCGGCTCCTGGAGCTTGTCGAGGAATGAGGACGAGACGTCGGAGGCGAAGAGGTGGAGGCAGGTCCGGTCCTAAGAAGAGACCAAGACTAAGTCAGCCCACCTAAAGTCCGGCACACCCCAACACCGGCACTCTCCACAACACCAAGGTAGGCACATTCCAACAGTAATTGAAGCCGCATTTCAACGTTACGATAGTCAATTATAGTGTTTTCTAGCTATTCAAGCTGCCAGCTACCACATAGAGCTTTAAAATCTGCGCCTTGATTGGCTGCGGCAATAGCAGCCGGCTCGAGGATGCGCTCGAGCCGCTGCCTCGTCTTAATAACTTGATCAATCCGTACGAACCGGCCATTAGGATCCTATAGAACCTTTTTCTGTTTTCGAGGCCGTAGACGATGCAATTGATGCTCAAGCTATTGTATTCGAAGCTAGGCAGCTGCAAGCTGCCAATTTTGATTGTCAAGGGCGCGGCCAACTTTGCTAAAGAGTAGTCGGATTGTACGGTCAACTTGACCGCGATTTTCTAGCCCCACAACGAGGCGGCGAACTTCTTGCGATCGTTTAGGCGTTTTAAGGGCATCGTTATTAGCTAAGGAGCTAATATTCTTCCTTTTTAATAGCGTTAACGGCGTTAACGGCTGCGGCAAGACGAAGCGGCTTAATAAGGGCTTTACTATATTAATTGGCCATAAACCAGACCCGCGCCAACCTCCCTTGATGTTCTTTTCGGTTAGGCCAGCCTGCCGGGCTTCGTAGTAGATACGAAGGAAGGTAGCCTTGCTAATTGGCGCTGTATCGTCGAAAGATACGATTTTCTCGAGTTAACGTCGGTATGCGGCCTTAATAGGCGAGAAAACCGAGATATTAAGTGGTTGGAGGATATGTGAGGAGTGTGATAGTAGGAAAAGGAGATATATACCATTCTAGAAGCATTCGTATATAAAATCATCAGTCTAATGACTCCCGTGGCCGTCAATAATAAGAAGAGTGTTGCCCTGCTTATGGTGCCTTGTTTGAGGGATAAAAACCTGCTTTAGCCACTAAATAGCGATAGCATCACTTGTCTAGCCCTTTAGGGAGGCAATGAAGTCCTAATCTCGTAGAAAATCAAGTTCGTCAGGGAACCATTGGTGTTAAAGGTCTTGACCCTTAAAAATCATAAGGGGAGTCAAGGCCTGGCCTGTAGCAGAGACGCATTCGACTATTGTAGTCTAACAACGCGATCCTAGCCGCTTTTTGAGAGTCTCTCGCTTCTCTGAGCTCCCTAGTACTAGACCATTGGAGCCGAGGCCCTCGAGGATACCCGTTTCGTCCATATTAAAGCGGGACTCCGGTGGGATTGCCTGTATAGCCGGCAGCTTAAGCAATTAGAACCATTCCTCGATACGGGCCATAGAGGCGCCGTTAACGCGAGCAGAATCGAGAGATCTACCTTTAATAGTACTAATCTCTGGGTTCCGGGCTAAAAAGCCCGAAATCCACTGCTTCCTAAGCGGACGGGTATCGCCGCCGGCCTTGACGATGCGGCCGGCAAATTCCTTGACCTGATAATGCGTTGGAGGCAGCCCAAGGGCGGCCTGGGCAAGAACCCAGTCGGCAAGGTGTTTTTCCTGCTCTCGGCTAAGCCTCTGATATGCCTCTTTTGCCTCCTTGATGGGCAGAGCCCCTTTAAGACGTGTGTGGAGGGTCCCTCTTGGAATACCCCACTTTCGACTAGCATGAAGCTGAGGCATCCCGTTTTTAATAGCTTCGAGTGCTTCTTGGAGCTGGTTTTCGGTATACTTAGAAAGCCGAGGCATCGCTGATGTAAATAGTATTTATTTTATAATTATAGGGCAAGAGATGCACGAGAAAACGCGGTTGCAATGTAATGTATTTGACGACGCGATGGTGTTGTGGAGAGTGCCGGTGTTGGGGTGTGCCGGACTTTAGGTGGGCTGACTTATTGGCTGACGGCCAGTGAGCACCCGCGGCTGGGACGGGTTGCAGGCATGGCCTACGTGGAATACCAGCTCGCCGTCCTCGTCGTGCCGCGACGATGACTTGCGCTGCTCTTATGTCATTGCAATCAGCATGGTAACGAGGTAGGGGTTCCGTAGTGGCTCCTTAGAGATGATGCTCTGCAGCTTGAGCTTGTATAGGGTCCACGTCGTGTCTCGGCCGCGGCGGGTGGTGCTGAGGGATGGACGCATCGAGTTGCCGCGCATGTCTGAGAGGCGCGCGAGGTCGACGTGGGCGACAGCAGGCAGAGTTGGGGTCGAGGCGGCCATGTCGGGCTGGGCTCGGCGATGAAAGGTTGCGTGGCAAGCCAAATAGCTTGAGAGCCGAAGCGAAAGACGACGTAGCGGTGCCTAGACTGTGGGCAGACGGGCCGTCAGAGACGAGACGTGGCCTGGACGACGGGGCGAAGACCATGTGTGCCTACCCCGGCCGCAGAGGACAGCCAGCATCGGCCAGCAGGCTATCCACGCACGTCCCGCGCACGTCTCGCCGCCAATGGTCAAGGTTGATCTTCCAGAAGAAGCTGCCCGTCGTATCCTCGACGTCGCATGCGTCGACGTCGGCAGCGCGAGCCTCGTCAAAGCGGCATTGCAGGAGCTCGAGCTGGTGGTCGGTCCAGTGCAGGGGCGCCACGTAGAGGCGCTCTTTGCAGTGCAGGCGGATCGTCTGGCCTAGTGACAGGGGCGGCGGGCGCGTGCAAGGCGCGGGCGTCGCCATGTGTGCGCCGTCTCATAGCTGGTGCCTTGTTGTTGACTTGTTAAAGTTGATGCTGCCTGTTGATGTGCTCGATAAGAGTGCTGTACATGAGAGCGGACCATTAGATGGTCCGGTTCCGGCCTTGGAGGTAGTACTGTGTACACGTGCGAGTACTTTTTTCTAGACGGGCCTTCCTCTTAAGAGTTTGCTGTGACGACTTGGCGCGGATCGGAACAACATTGGAGCGCGTCGGACCCGTCGGGCGGTTAAATAGCGACTACTTCTTGGCGCACCAGCAGATTCCCTTGTCCATCCTTGCTTTCCACATCAACTCCGCCTCTGCCTACTTACGTGCGTCGCTTCACACCTCATGCAGCAACCAAGGCGAATCCTCGTTAGCGTATCGTCCAAAAGTCCTTGCTGGCCAAGGGCTTGGGCATATCCCGAGGAGATAATCGCCGTCGCCCTCAGCCTAGTTAAGGAAGACAATCTCATCTCATCCGATAAATACAACGACCCTTCGCAATGTCTCTTTCTTGCAAAGGAGAGATGGGATGGACGGGTATTCATTGTCTTTGACGTCTTTCACGATGCGTATAACCCAGACAGCGCACACCTACCAGGGCAAAACGACTTGCCAGTCACCTTGGTTCATCTTAGCCGACGGAACAAAGTCAACGTCGCCCCTACGCCCGTAATGCGGAAACTCAACAGAGAGCTTGAAGAACTTCATAATTCGACTGGCCTAGAAAGCCGGCCGCCCTTCAGTGTCGATCACGCCAACGGCCAGCATCCAACCTACGACAGACCTCGAACTTGCATTATTCTTCAAAGCCATACGTCCTAGTCCAAATAACTTGCTCGAGGTAAACCATCCGCACCATCTGGTCCCAATGCGAGTGTGTTATCTATTCTCAGGGGAGAAATCACCAAGTTCATTGTAGATAGGGAGGGGGCGCATTCGCTTCGCGTAGGGTAAAAGGGCCGGTGACGGCGGATAAGGGGAGGTTATTGCCGAAGCAGCGCTTGTCTACCTCGTGCGCGTTCGTGTAGGACATGGGCTCCTGATCCTAGGATTACGTCGCGCCTCGCCCATAAGACTGGATGTCATCGCCAGCCATAGCTCGCGCTGAGCGTCGAGTTGAACGCCCTTGTTAGCGGCCGCATATGGTACAGCCAATTTCTCAACAGCCCATGCAAACAAAGTTGGGATATAAAGGAGCGTGTGCGGTTGGGCTGTTATCTCATTTGATTTACACGAGTAAAGCGGTTATCATGTACTAAATTTATCTCACGGTTCCTTTCTAGATGCTCCTCAACCTGTTCGGCCGCTTTCGTGTTTTGCAACTCTGAGCGAATGTCTTCCACTATTAAATGCAGAGTCGACATAGATTGCCGCAAATTCTACTGCCCTCAATGCTCTAGGAGCAACAGAGATGCATGACAATCAAGATCAGAGTCATCAGACCCCGGCCATTTCCTCTCATCCACTAGACTGACTGCTGGTGTCTGGTGTCGGAAGACTGCAAGTAGCACAAGTGGAATTTTCAACTTCGACTGTTGATCCTTGAGCATAAATCGCATGCTGTCGACCGTTGCACCGTGAAATGCACTCATCCTTCATAACCGCGTTGCATTTGCCGCATCTTATTCGTTTCCAGCGGCACATGTTGCTTAATCACAGACTTAACCAGTTAGCGATATTGCTTCCTAGTGTAACAGCCTTGTGCGCTTACCAATGTAGATGCATGGATACAGAAACTGCTATTTTATACGCAGGGCGACGCGTATTGATGTAGTTCATGTTGAGATTCATAGCAGTGGGAAAGATACCGACCTTAATATTTGCAAAGTAGGAGCAACAAGACCCTTTTCTCTACATAGGCTTACAGCGTTCTGAGCTTCCTAATCAAGGTAAGCTTGGACGCATGTAAGCTGCAGTGTTTGGACTAGGTTGTACGCACTACCAAGGAGAAGTAAGAGCTATATTCGTACCTATGAGCCGTGCCGTTGCGCCTACCCTCCTGGCGTGGCGCCTTCGAGTTGTACCCACTACTACTACTGCTACTACTACTACTACTACGAACTACCGCTCTCCGTGGACTAACCCTAGGACCACACCTTCGCGTTGGCTTTCTATTCCTCTCATGGGCTGTGTGCTCTCAGCGGCGTCCCCTATAGCGCCCTCTGGCCCGTCCCCTGGCCGCGGCAGTATGCTGTAGGGCTGTCTTTGCCGTGCTGTTGGACCTATAGCTAGGCCCGCTGCGCTCGGTGGCTGTGTCGCTGAGGCCGCCCCCGGTGTCGGCCGCGGTTGGATATTCCGGAAGGGCGGCTGCTGGCTTATATCCATATGCTGTCTTGGCCGCCCCGGCTACCTTTCCGACCAAGCCGCAGCGCTTTGGCCGGACCTTGGCGGCGTGAGAAGAAAGCCAACCTCACCTTCGCCGGCTTCTCTACGCTTCCCTTCCCGCCTCGTCTCCAGTGTCGATGGTGCCGTCTTCTCTTCCATCGCCCCCTGGTTGCTTGTGCCTGGGGGCGTCCTTACCGCCGCCTTCGCTTCGGCAGCACCAGGCTTTCTATCCATATACCATACTCTATATAGAACAATTCTCGTATAGATTACGAATTTCTCTCCGTATGGAATCTTATTCTATACGTATAGGATACCTAAAAATGACGTTATTTTTGCTTCGCTACGGCTCGGCGCTTGTTAGGCAATGGGCGTGGTTTCCCGCGATCTGGCCAAACTATCGTCGTTTTCTTCGCTCTCTGCTTCGACTAGTTCAACGGGGATCCTATATATAATGCCGCTTTTGATCTAGCTCTTTATGCACTCCCGCTTCTCGATTGTGCGACTTCCTAGCTAATATCTATCCTATGATATCGTACGCCGTGTACTAGAAAATACACGCTCTAGCTCGGCGGACATAGCAGGTGCTAAAAGGATATCGACGGCCATTTTAGAGAGACGGGGATACCGCTGTTGCTGTTCTTCTCGGAGCTACTAAGTAGGCGGGGAGCAGTCGATAGCGACCGGCGTTTATATAATAAAGGATTTATACTTATCGAGCTCGTTTATTGCCGGTCGAACGATATCGAGCTCTCGAGCGAGCAATTTATACTTATCGGGTGGTTATAGTTTATCTCGTAGTTCTGGCGTTGTGGTGGTAATCGGCAGCGTCTGGTGGTAGTCCTCCTAGTATTTCGTTACGCTATTAAGTACTAGTTTATGCTACGACTTAGACTAATTCTTTTTAACGTAGGCTATACGGCGTGACGGATAAAGCATTATTGCCGTACTATAGGCAGGGCTCTTATCCGTAAGCTAGTAGTACTTATTATATATAGCCTAAGAGGCAGCAATATAGCTACGGAGTGTATAGTTATCGTGGTGCTTTTAGAAAGCCTATATATAATGCCTATAAAGGACGTCTATAGTAAAGAGCGTACGGTCGAGGGTAGCGTAGCGACCCTCTATAAGCTAGGTAATCTTCTAGAATAGTTAAAGGAAAGTACGCGTTTCCCTTAGGATGCTCTACTTACTAGGGGCGAGATAGTCGTCCTATAGGTTCTTATAGTATCTTCTCTAGTACTACTCTATATGCTCCTAGAGATTAAGGGCAACGTCTAGAAGTAGAAACCACGAGTTCTAGTATATATTATTATCTATCCCTAGCGACCGGCTAGCGCGTTTCTTAAAGAGATTCTACCTATAGTCGTTCTCGCGTATATAGACCGAGATATTATAGATTTTACTTAGAGGCCCTAATCGACGCTAACCTAGCGCTTTTTAAGTCTTAACCCGCTATATAAAGTCGGCACCGAACGTAATTTCGTTATCGCCCTTAATCTACTCTAGAGCGGCTTATATAGCTTCCTTAGAGTCTATAAAAAGGAAGGCCTAAATAGCGAGGTTTATAATATAACTATAGCATCGAATCCTCTACTTCCTTAGCTCCTAATTAATGCCCCTTACTTATAGATACTCGCTAAGAAAATAGTAGAGCTTATCGTTAGAGCTATAGTTATCGCCGGTATAAAAGCCGATCTTATTCTAGATATTATAGTCTTCGAGAACGTATTATAGAAGATTCTATTACTTAGCTCCGCTATAGCTACTTAGCCTATCGAGGCCTAGTAGCTCGAATAAGGCTAATAAGGCCTATAATATCTCCTTAGACTCTAGATTAATAAATTTAATATAAGTTCTAAGGAAGGCTTTATAATTCGGAGCTATCTAGACGTTAGTAGATAGATAGAGCTTTAATAGCGAGGACTATAGCCTTCCTTCTCTATAAGATATCCTCTTATATATAATAGGAATTAGAGGTAAGCTTTTAGATAGAACCGTGTAAGAGGCTAATAATACCTTCCGCGGTATAGTTAATAGCACCGATAAGCGCGTATAGCTTTAGCTAGGAACTATAATTATAAGAGAGGTTACGGACGGTAACGAGCTAGACTAGAGCCTCGAGAGCGGCCTTCTAATTAACTATAGCTCTAAGAGTGTCTTCCTACCTCCTTAACTGCTTTATAGCGCTTACCTCGCTAGCCTTTACGAAAGCATCCTAGATAAGACTATCGCGCTACTTCTTAATAGGGTAGTTATAGGCGTCTAACTTAATCCTATAGACTTTAAATAAGTAATAGCGGAAAGTAGTCGAGATACTTATCAAGTAAGTCGGGTCTATATAGTATATATAGTAGTAGATCTTCTTATTTTACGAGGGCAACGGGCCGGCTCTAACTCTTAAGGCCCCCGCGGCTAGTCCTCTTAAATATCTATCTAGTATTTTATAGGCTCTTTAGCGCTCCTTATTAAAGCCTATCTCCTATTAGCGAGACTTCTAGGTATATAGCAATAGCTATAATAGTTAACCCTTAGCTTTTCCGGTTAGAATTCTCTCGCTAGTTACTAAGGCCGCTGCCCTAGTCTATGCCCTAGTAACTAAGCGATAGAAATAGCGAGTAGCGGCGGTAGAGGAAAACCCTTAGAAGGAATTAAAGGCTATCGCGTAGCT